ACATATGATTTAACAGCCAACAGCAGGCGGGAGCAGAGCTGTCAAGCTAGTAACAGAAATACTATTAGTTAAATACAGATATATGATTTAGCCAAAAGCAGGCAGGAGCAGAGCTGTCAAGCTAGTGACAAAAAAGCTATTCGCTAAATACAGATATATGATTTAGCCAACAGCAGTCGGGAGCAGAGCTGTCAAGCTAGTGACAAAAAAGCTATTAGCTAAATACAGATATAAGATTTAGCCAACAGCAGGCAGGGCTACAGCTGTCAAGATAGTGAAAGAAATATTATTAACTAAATACAGACATATGATTAAAAGCCAACAGCAGACAGGGTCAGAATTATCAAGCTAGTGACAAAAATACTATTAGCTAAAAACAGATATATGTGTAACAGCTTCATAGAGTATTCTTATGGTTTGAATAAAATAAACAAATCTTAAAATTACATTAAAATTTTACCTGTTTCGTGAACAATCCCTTTAAATGTTACCTGTTTGGTGAACAATCCCTTTAAAATGTTACCTGTTTGGTGAACAATCCCTTTAAAATGTTACCTGTTTGGTGAACAATCCCCTTTTAAATGTTGCCTGTTTGGTGAACAATCCCTTTAAAATGTTACCTGTTTGGTGAACAATCCNGGGGGGGGGGGGCAGAATTTTATTACTCTCCAGGAATTTTAAACAGTGTCTGAGCATTGTCATAGGAGGCTAGTTTTTGCATGCAAAATTAAAATTATGTACATTACATGCATTTTTGGTTATGAACGGATCTGAAGAAAAGTGCGCGCGCGCGCTTTTTGTGAAACAAGTACAACTTTTTCTTACAGTAAATCAATATTAACTTCATTATTAAGTGCACTTGAACATATACCTTGACACTCTTGAAACGAATATGCGCTCAAAAAATTCACCTCTAAAGCCTTAAATGTCCACGCGCGCGCGCGCAATAAAAAAATATCTTGGAATACTTATGAGCTAAGTTTGGCCTAAGTTAGAATAAAAGTTGCATGAGACACATAGCAAAATTGGGACAAGGAATTCATTAAAGAGGCCAAAATAAACATTGGAGCATTCTGACCGGCGCGCTAGTAGCCAACTATTACATTATGGGTCATCTTAGCACGGATTTTACATGTTCTATGTCGATTTATAGATAATTGGGCACGAGGAATTCATTTCTGAGGTCAAAATAAATATTGAAGCATGCATGTAATAAACATAATTTTGAGTTCGCATGCTAAAAATCAGCCTCCTACGACAATGCTAAGTTATGTTTATACACTTTTTAAATATCCCGGAGAATAATTAATACGTTTCGTGGCCCCTCCCCCCTTTTTTATCAAATTTAAAAACAATTGACAAAAAAAGCGGCAGATATAACTAAATACTGAAAAAATAAGAAAATAAATGAAGTTTATAGACAGAATTCATTAGAGAGGCGTACACTTATACACTTTTTTTTAAGTAATCCCGAACATGTTTTTTATCATCTTTAAAACTTTGTATTTTCTCCAAATTTCCAATTCGATCATAAAAACCTAAAGGATGGGATTATTATGGATTATCCTACCTCTAATTCAGGTGCTAGGTTTACATGGTACTGTTTGGCTGGGGAAGGTGGCTCCATACATACTTCACTACTAGGACCTAGAAGTCAAAAGAATGTACGATGTAAAAATGTAAATAATATATGAACAATGATGACCAGAACTAAAGCTGAACCAGAATCATTTACAGAAAATAGAAAATGAAGAAATTATCAATATACGCCAAAAGGAGTCCTGAGGATCAACACCAATTAACATAAGATAGGAATACTTTTAGCTTAAAGATTAACTTATAAAAAATGGGTTTGTGTGCACTGCACAATTTCTGTGTTTCATGTTCAGACTTTTTAAAATCAATACTTGAGGCCATTAGTCGTTTTCTAATTCACAGATGCATGGGCCCCACTCAACCTTATTCAATTTTTTCAATTTAAATGTTTGTTCTTAAACAAATATCTTAAATGTTGAACACGAGAGATCAGTAAAACTCCGTTTAAAATAAACTATCAAAAAAATTATAAAAATGTCCAATTAAAGATTTCGAAACACGCAAAGAAACACTCTTCAACGGGCCTGAAAATTAACTATAGCTTATATAAAAAGGTTGATTTTATTTATTACTTGCTCCACCACAAAAAAAAACGAAAATATCGTTATTAGTTGAACTTTCATTAGTTAAACTACTCATCGCTTTTCATAAATTCCAATCTCCATATCCTGAATCGCCGACTTAAATCCTGTATCACCGATTTAAATCCTGAATAACCGAATTTAAATCCTAAATCATCGATTTAAATCCTGAATCGCCGACTTAAATCTATAATCACCGAATTTAAATCCTGAATCACCGATTCAAATCCTCATGAATCTTGATTCAGGATTTGAACCGGAGGTAGGAAATTTAGCAACCTAGCTCAAATTCATTAAATTAAGTCCCAGATTGGTTTAAAACCGGGTCTAGTTAAAGCTCGGTTTATATAGGCGTGCAAAAAAAACCCGGATTTAACTCATATTTCTGAATGTTAACACTTAGCTCAGTTGTACATTTTATTGTTCCAACCTGATCATATGTTCTTGAACTCATCTCTCCACCGAAACATTCGGAAGCAATCTGGTTTGAATCAAAGGCTTTCACCTCGGCATCATTAAAAGAATACCATTTATCCTAAAGAGAGAAAGGTTGTATTATTGATTTATCCATCCTGCCGCAGATACGATTGCTGGAAACATGCTCGCTAGAAACTACATTTTAGTTGTGTAAACAGTGTCCGAATTTAATAAATTTAAGCCGCGTCTTAAATCCCAAAAAAACCGGTTTCAATTGAGCGCAGGCTGAAATCTTTAAAAATTGAATACAATTTTAAGTGGAACCAACCATATTTGAGCCGCGGCTTAAATTCTTTAAATTCGGCCTCTGTAGACAACTTGGAGAAACACAAAGAAAAGAAAAAATAATTGAAAGCTGCAAAACTAACCGTTGAAGATGTTAAAATCCAAATACAAAATAGTACTTTGTGGGTTTTAACGCTGAATTAACTATTATTACTTTTATTTTTGAAAAAATGTTGTGATCTTTAACAAAAACGAAAATCTTATTCCCGAAGGAATAAGTTTAAATGAAAAGCAAAATAAATAGCTGAATGGGTTTTTAAAGGAAAAGACCGCTTTGGGCTGAAATGGGTTATTAAAGAAAATGTACAGTAATATCTAAATTGGTCATTTAAGAAAAAAAAAACACTAATTGCTGAATGGGTCATTTAAGAAAAAAGTACAATAATGGCTAAATGGATCATTTAAGAAAAAAAGTACAAAACAAAAAAAAGTACAAAAACTTTGGGTTGAAATGGTTGCTGTCAACTGAAGTAAAAAGAACATTTTGGGGTTGAAATGGTTACTGGAGGTAAAACATACTTTGGATTGAATGGGTTAATTAAGGAAAAAGATTACTAATGGCTAAAAGTGTTACAAAAAAGAGAGTACTTTGGCCTGAAAGGATTACTGTTCGAACAAGAATGTTTCGGGCTAAATGGGTTACTGTTCAAACAAGAACGCTTTGGGGCTAAATGGGTTACAGTTCAAACAAGAACGCTTGGGGCTAAATGGGCTACTGTTCAAACAAGAACGCTTGGGGCTAAATGGGTTATTTCTTACCTTAACTGAAGTTCTGTCTTTAATGAATGCATAGTAGTGTCCACCATCAGCATTCCCAGTATGGACAGTTACACCAATCAGTTCATATTCAAGCTTTCTTCCAGATATATCACAGTTTTCTTATATAGAGACATATCAAATCAAATCAAATCAAATCAAATCAAATCAAATCAAATCAAATCAAATCAAATCAAATCAAATCAAATCAAATCAAATCAAATCTAATCAAGTCAAATCAAATCAAATCTAATCAAATCAAATCTAATCAAGTCAAATCAAATCAAGTCAAATCAAATCAAATCAAATCAAACCTAATCAAGTCAAATCAAGTCAAATTAAATAAAATCTAATTAAGCCAAATCAAGTCAGATCATATCAGATTAGATCCGATCAGATCAAATCAATAATTCACTTAAAATCCCCAGTTTAGTCCTTAAAGTCATATTACAGCGATCATAAGTTAAAAACTGATATTAATACTGAACGATGGGCAAAGGTGGAATAAGTTTGACATAGATAAAGATAGATTGCGCATAAGACGACATTGTTCATCTTGAAATTCTTGGTGATTTTGTGTACATAAGCTTTCTATGTTTATTTATCTATGGTTTAAGAACATAATTTAGGCCAAACATGAATCTTAGTGTTGCTTGGAACTAAATTATTATCTATCATTATCCCAAAGATAACATTTTCAATTATTTTTGGATTTTGAAGAAACATCATTTGAGATAAAAAAATCTAAAACTAGGTTTACATTCTTATTTTCTTCAAATTCTTTTAAAAGAAAGCTTCAGATTAACCAAAGATTTCCTTTGCAAAGTTTCATAAATCCTACCTTCTCCGTCCTTGCCTCCAGATTTAGGAATGAGTGTGTGCTCCATGTAGGGGGCCATGTCCAACTGCAGAGGGAAGGAGAAGTGGGTATTTACTTTCTCCTAGAAGTTCAACACCCATATTTAATCCAATATTGATGCAGTGATTTTAATTCATTTCACCAGCAAAAGCAGGACCAAATTCTTTTATTTTTAGTGCCCTGTGACATGTTAAATTCACAACAACAATACCCGACAAAAGTCTGGTAGGTGGAAAGGTACCTAAATATAGGTGGGAAGGTACCTAGATGTTGGTGGGAAGGTACCTAAATGCACAACTAAAGATACTACTATTATTGTATATTTTATTACAATTCAAAAAAATGGATTCCTTAAAGGGAGTGTTCGCTCACGGCGAGATCGCTACTAATCTTACTTATATCTGGCTTCCGGCGAAAAATAAGCGCTTTTGGTCGCTACTGATATTACTTCTATCTGTTGCGTCTATAAGTAGAAAATTGTTTAAAACGACTCATGCTGAACAACGTAGTGTCCATACAAATTCAGAAAGTTGTAACATTCAACTCGGATCGTAAAAAAATCAATTTAATTCCAAACAAATCACTCAGATGTTACAACCAATAATTATCGATAATTTTTCGAGGCATTCGTATAAAGTTGATACTTCATAATATTTTTTTTATGATCTGAAAACATTTATTTCTGTTTCGAAGAATTTTAATAATGAAAACTACATTTTCATATTTTCCAGGAATGTTCAAAAATCAAGCGCAAGGATTTAAATCATGTATACATATAAATTAAGTATTCATTTAAAGTCATGGTTTCAGACGGATGTTTTCATGGACTAATTAGTGGGGACCTAATCATGATCCAAGTATTTATTAAGTATGGGTTCCTTGAGCATAGTGACCATATTGAATGAGTATCGCATGGTGTTGAAAGCCAGGATATCTGGGAGGGATTTAAAGCAAGCTCTCTTCTCCGCTCTCACCTTTTTCCCACACTAACACCACACATCAGATATAAATACTTTCAAATTAATAATTATAAAAAAAAATCCAACAATTGCTGCAACAATTGTAACTCTTAATATCACTGATAGCAACAATATAAAACACCAGATGAAAAATCAAAAATCACAATTGCAATTAAATTNTATCTGATGTATATCCCTGTGAGCAAGTATACATGTTATCCCCCTCCAACATGTCCTTGACGCACACCTCCTCCAGGCTCTGCTGTAGGTTCCTCATCTCAGAAACTTGGCACCTGGCAGAGATTCTTCCATTATTTTATGCAATTTAAGATATTCAACCTCAGGTTAGAACTTTTGAATTCCTTGTGGTCCGAGTGATTAAGCTAGTGCTCAATCACTACAGTTTAAAGTCATCACTGTGGATATAAAATTCAGGTCTCATAGATTAGCGCTTTCTCATACTAAAGTTCTGACCCCTGAGGTCGAATTTAAGGAATTTGAGCCGCGGCTTAAATTTGAGACGGGGCTTAAATATAGTTAGTTCCACTTACAATTGTATTCAATGTTTCAAGATTTAAGCCGGCCCTTAATTGAAACCGGTTTTCGGCGGATTTGAGACCCGGCTTAAATTCATTAAATTCGCGATCTGGAATTTTGCAGTTAATCAAATAATCTTAACATACAGGTAGGGATGGGTTTCATTTTACAAAACAATCAGAAAAACGATTGTTTTAAGTTTCGTTTCCGATTTTTTTAAAACTAACTAATCTTTGTTTTTAGAAAAAATGAATTGTTTAGTGTTAAGTTAGTGTTAGATTTAAGCTTTTGAAAACGAATAAAGAAAGGACAAAACTACAGTTTTTAAGCAAAAACGATCGTTTCTGTTTAAATTTTATTTACTCAAATTTTATCGTTCAAAGCAAGGTTTGTAAATTCAAATTTTAATCTTTCATTAAAATATGCTATATTTGTCGTTAATATTGAAAATTCCGAAACGATTAGTTTGAAAATAATCATTTTCGTTTTTTCTTCTTTAAAACTATCATAACTTTAAAAACGATCGTTTTTTTTCATCGTTTACAAAACGAAACGAACGTTTTTAAAAAACGCACATCCCTAAATACAAATTACACCTAGAACAGAAAAAATATGGCCATCATCTCAAAACCAGTCAATAGAAAATTTGTAAACAAAGCTTTTGTTTATTGACTAGCTAGAAATTGTTTAAGTTTGACTGGTATCTGGCTTCTTCTGATTTTAGCAATGATGATTGAGAATATCTAGCGGCGAGAATAGCTTAAGGTAAACACAAGTTAAAGATCTTCTTGCTTTGTAACAGCGGG